AAGAAAGCTGGAAAAATCACAAACATGTAGAAACCAAATAACATGGTACTGAACAGCTATTGGGTCAATGGAGAAATCAAGGAGAAATTAAACAGTACCTGAAGACAAAAGAACAAGAAAATAGGACATATCAAAATCTACGTGATGCAGCAAAAGCAGTTCTAAGAGGGAAATCTATAGCAATATAAGCCTACCTCAAGAAATAAGAAAGATCTCAAAAACAATCTAAACTTACACCTAAAGGAACTAGAAAAAGAAGAATAAACAAAGTCCAAAGTCAGCAGAAGGAAGGAAATAAAAACCATAATGGAAATAAACAAAACAGAGACTAAAAATACAATGAAACTAACAGTACAATGAAACTAAGAACTAGTTCTTTGAAAAGGTAAACAAAATTGACAAATTTTAGCTAGACTCACCAAGACAAAAAGAAAGAAGGCTCAAATAAATAAAATCAGCAACAAAAGAGAAGTTACAACAGATATCACAGAAATGCAAAGGATTATGAGACAGTACTCTATAAACCAACAAATTAGACAATCTAGAATAAAATGGATAAAATCTTAGACTTACACAAGCTTTCAAGACTGATTCATGAAGAAATAGAAAATCTGAATAGACTGATCACTAGGAAGGAGATTGAAACAGTCATTGAAAACCTCCCAAAAGACAAAGTTCCAGGACCAGCCAACTACACTGGTGAATTCTATCAAACATTCAAAGAAGAATCTCAAACTCTTCCAAAAAAATTGAAGAGGAAGGAATGCTTCCTGTACCACTTTATGAGGCCCGTATTACTCTGCTACCAAAACCAGACAAGAACAACACAAAAAGAAGAAAATCTGAGGCCAATGTCTCTGATAAACATAGATGCAAAAATCCTCAAAAAAATATTAGCAAACCAAATACATTAAAAGGATCACATCTCATGATCAAGTGGGATTTATTCTAAGGATGCAGTGGTAAATCAACATCTGCAAATCAGTCAACATGAAACACCACATTAACAAAATAAATGGTACAAATCATACAAGCATCTTAATAGATGTAGAAAAGCATTTTACAAAATTCAACATCCATTTATTATTTTAAAAAACTCAGTTAAATGGGTATAGAAGGAACATAATGAAGACCATAAATGACATAAATGTCAAATCTAGCTAACATCATACTGACAGTGAAAACTGAAAGCTTTTCTTCTTAGATTAAGAAAAGAAAAGGATGCCCACTCTTACCACTTTTATTTGACACAGTATTGAAAGAATTAACATTGTTAAAATGTCCATGTTACCTAACACAATCTACAGATTTAATGCAATCCCTACCAAAATGCCAGCAATATTTTTCACAGAAATAGAACTTAAAAGTCCTAAAATTTGTATGAAACCACAAAGGCCTTGAATAGCCAAAGGAATTCTGAGAAAAAAGAACAAAGCTAGGGGTGTTCTGCTCCCTAATTTCAAATTATACTATAAAGCTATAGTAATCAAAACACATATAAAGAATTCATACAAGTCAACAACATAAAAACAAAAAATCCAATTAAAAAATGGGCAAGAATCTAAACAGACATTCCAAAGATGACATACAGATGGTTAACAGACACATGAAAAGATGTTCAACGTTACTAATTATTAGGGACATGCAAAACAAAACCACAGTAAGATATCACCTCATCCCCATTAGAATAGCTATTATGAAAAGACAAGTAATAACAAGTGTTGGTGAGGATGTAGAGAAAAGGGAACCCTCATAAACTGTTGGTGGAAATGTAAATAAACAGTATGGAGATTCCTCAAAAAATTAAGAATAGAGCTACCATATCATCCAACTACTCTGCTTCTGGGTACTTATCCAAGGAGCATAAAAACTCTAATTCAAAAAGATATATGCACCCCTATGTTCACTGCAACATTATTTACGATAGCCAAGAAATGGAAACAATCTAAGTGCCCATCAAAAGCTGAATGGATAAAGAAGATGTGATACACACACACACACACACATACACATACACAATGGAATACTACTCAGCCATAAAAAAGATAAAACCTTGCCATTTGCAACAATATGAATGGGCCTTGAGGGTATTACGCTAAGTGAAATAAGTCAGATGGAGAAAGACAAATATGGTATGATTTCACTCATATGTTGAATATAAAAACTACAAAATAAATGAACAAACAAAACAAAAACATAGATACAGAGAATGGACTGGTGGTTACCAGAGGGGAAGGAAGGTTGGAGAAGGGCAAAATGAGTAGGGAGGATCAATTGTACGGTGACAACGGAAACAAGATTTTTGGTGGTGAGCACACTGTGGTATATACAGAAGTTGAATTATAATGCTGTACATGGAAATTTATATAATGTTATAAACCAATGTTACTTTGATTTTTTTTAAATGTGCAAAGAATCTAACATATATTTGTCCAAAGAAGATACACAAATGGCCAATAAGCACATGAAAAGATTCTCAATATCATTAGCCTTCAGGGAAATGCACATCAAAACCACAATGAGATACCACATTACCCCCAGTAGGAGGGCTATAATCAGACAGATAATAACAAGTGTTGACAAGCAAGTGTTCAAACTGAAACCCTCATACACTGCTAGGGAGACTGTACAATGGTGCAGTCACTTTGGATAATGATTTGATAGTTCCTCAAAATATTAAACATACAGTTACCATATGATTTAGCAATTCCAGTCCTAGGTATCTACCCAAGAGATATGTAAACACATATCTACACAAAAACTTGAACATGATGTTCATAGCAGCATTATTCATAATAGCCCAAAAGTGAAAACAACCCAAATGTTCAGCAGCTGATGAATGTGTAAGTAAATTGTGGTATACAGACTGGAAAATGATTTGGCAATAAAAAGAATGAAGTACTAAAACACGTTACAACATGGATGAAACTTGAAAACATTATACTAAATGAAAAAAATCTAGAAACAAAAATGTCACATATTATATGATTCTATTTATATGATAATCCAGAATAGGCAAGTCCATAGAGAAAGAAAGTAAATTAGTTATTGCACAGGACTGGAGGTGGGGGAAGGAGAAATGGAAAATAATGGCTAATGGGTGTGGACTTTTCTTTTTGGTGTGATAAAAATGTTCTAATCAATTGTGGTGATGATTGTGTAATTCTGTGAATATACAAAAAAAATTTAATTACGCATTTGAAATGAATGAATTTTATGGTGTGTGAATTATGTCTCAATAAAACTTTTTTTAAAGTTTTTAAAATAATAAATCTTCTCACAAGCATCAGCCTTCTGAGATTTTACTGGCAAGTTCTATCACATAGCTAAGAAATAGAAACAGTAATCTTTCCATAAACTCTTCCAGAAAATAGAAGAAGGAACACTGCCCTACTCACGTTACAAGGCTAGTATAAATTTGACAGGAAAAAAAGTCAAGTAAGAAATGTGAAAGGCCAAACTTGGTCGTGAACAAAAATTCTTTTTAAAAATTAGCAGATCAAATGTAGCAATAATTACATCATGAGCAAATTGTGCAGGAATGGAAGAAGACGAATTAATTTACCAGATTAACCAATGAAACAAGAACAATCATGATTATCACGCTAGTTGGAGAACTGACATCCATTCCCTCACTGCCAACCCAACACTGACGTCTGGCCAATAGGGGCTCTCTTTGGATAAACTCGTGCAGTGTCTTTCAGAACAGCGTCCTGTGGTGGTAAAGGCAAGATGACATGGAAAGGTGGAAGGCAGGACAGTTTACTGCAATATTAACTTGTGTTTTGTCATTGCTGCCTCAGAGAAAAAAAAAAAAAAGATACCAACTATTGTTGCTTTCTTCTTTCATTTTTCCCCTCCCACTCCAAGGGGGTGCGGGGTTCTTTGTGCTCCCTTGTTTTAATGGAATTCTGTTACAGGAATGGAAGTAAAAACTTGTTAATCAAAGTCTGCGGTCTTTGAGATTAGCCTGCAGAGGTAGGAGCAATTGCCCTAGTTAGGGGAACTGCAAGCAGCTAGAAAGAACGGGAGTCGTCCCACGTTTGGGAAGGATGCTGTGTTTGTGCCTTGTAAGTCAAAGGACCTCACCCATGACCTGGCAGTGCCCTGGCAGCAAGAGATAAGACCTAGGAAGGCAAAGGCTGCCCTGCACACCAGGTGGTGGGGACCAGGCACCAAGACTCCCAGAAGCAGCAAAAACGCCAAAGGAGAAAGTGAGCTAGCAGCAGCAGAGCTCTACCCTCAGTTTCCAAGACCAGGTAAGTCTCCCTGGTTCCTGTGTGACCCAACAGCATCCCCCAACTCTGTATAGAGTCAGACTGGGTGGGGTTAGGGGAGGCTTGGAATCAGCTGGGGTCCCCGGGAAAAATAAGATGGAACCTAGGTGATAAGATAAAGTCTAACCTCTTCAGTGCTTAGTCTAGTTCCGCTTGCTCATAGGGTACTGAATGCAGAGGCCTTGCACACAGCACTTCAGACGGGAGTGCCCAGTGTGACGCTGCAGCCCAGCAGAATGTGTGCAGAAGCGCCGGGACCCACACGCAACTCAAGATGGCGGCGCGGGCAGCGGGCGGCGCGCAGAGACGCTGCGCCTGACTCAGCGATCGGGCACGGCGAGCAGCGCGCATGCGCCATGGGAACCCCACCCCCAGCCCCCCTCCCAGGGGCAAGATCCCAGATAAAGCAGCCCCGCCCACAGCCTGTCGGGAGAGGCGTCCTCTAGAGCGCAAGCTTGCACCTCTTCATCTCTGAGGAAATGCGAAAGCTTTCCTTTAATTCCGAACGGAACTGTTCTGGCTCTATTGGCTCCCACGATACTGGACAGAAGGACTTTGTTGGGCACCAACTTGGGCGGGTCTGTAACAATGTAACGTTTCCGCGCACCGAGTTTGTAGCCCAGGCTTCCTCCCCATTGCATCGTGTGCGGGATGTTCCGGTAGGACAAGGGAGACGGAGATACACTGACAACCCGATGGCAGAAGCAGGCAACAAAGCTCTACCTGTCCTCCAGGTCCGGCCACTGCTTGAAGTTTCCCTGGGGGTCACTGCTGGCTTCTCCCCTCTGGGCATCCACAACCAGCTCCTGCCTGGCTCTGGGGGAGTCTTTCAGGTCACTGCGCAGGTGGAGGGTACCTCGGGCCATGCTGTCCAGAAAGCTGAGGATCTGGAGGCAGCTCTGTATCTTGGGTGGGAGTGGGCTGGCAGAAGAAAAGGCCACACTCAGCAAATCAGCAAATGGCCTGGCCTTCATGTCCTCCCAGGACTGCAGAGGGGCGCCCTCTTCCTCCAGGACCCCAAAACAGCCCAGCAAGCAGAGGTCCTCGGCCAGCTTCTCAAAGAGTCCGTTCCTCCTGAAGAAGTCACCGTTGACCGGGTCCAGGTGCAGCGCCGCAGACAGGGCACAGAGTGTGTGCAGGACCAGGTCCAAGGTCTGGCTGGGAGACACCACCGACCATGTCTGCAGTGGAGGGTCCTGGAGAGACCCCTCTAGGTCAGAGAGCAGGGACAGCAGCCCATTGAACCCACTGGAGACTCTGAAAGCAGCACGGCCTTTGGGGGTCTCCAGAATCCGGAGTACAGACTGAAACCAACAAGATAAAAATGAGTAAGTTCCAGGAGGCAGGTCTTTAAGTCTGAGCTCCCGCACATCCCTGCCAAAGCATTCCGGGTGTTCTCCCAAGCTCCACGCCATAGGAAAAGTGAGCCACAGAAGGGTGATTCTGAAACATTGGGAGGTCAGTACCATACCGCTTCTCTTGATTTTAGTTTTGGGTTGCCCCTCAGTGTCTTTGTTCAAATGGCTGCTCTTAAAGTCTCTTCTGCTTTCATAGGGTGGATTTACCTGTATCCTGACTTAAATGCACCTCCCACCACAAAGCTTTCTCTGACACCTAGCTTGTGCTCATCCCAGGCTGAGTGCTCACACAGCCCACTCTACCCCCTCCGATCAAAACTCTCATCACAGTGTATTAAATTACTTGAAAACTGTCTCAGCCCTCCCTAGACTGAAGCACCATGAAATTAGGCTTACTCACTGCTGTGGAACTTAATAAATATTCGCTAAACTCCTGAAATGAACCGTTTCTTATTGTGCAAAGGAGACTCACAGTGAAATCTATATAAAACAGCTTATTACTATTTATCTCCCTCTCTGTGCAAGCACGGATACTTCTATTAAATGAGGAAAGATAGTCAAATGAATCCACTTAAAACCTGGTGTGAAAACATGAGGGAATTAGGGAGAGAAGAGGAATCCTTCATGGAAGGAAACATGTGGGACTAGACCACGTGTGGAGTTTAGGCTCTTACAACATAACATAGTAGACTCTACCTTCACCAGACTGCTGAGAGTTTTACAGGAGAGCCAAATTTTTACTTCCTTCTAAAATCAAACATTTACTAAGCACTTCCATCATGCCGTTCATTGAGCTCAGTTCATGGTATACACTAGGTATTCAATAAATGTTCTGAAAGGAAGGACTACATTTAAGAAGTTCTCATTCTATGCTAAAGCTTCACACCTAAAAGTGAAGAATGTATGGCTGATTTTAGATAAATATCAAAAGCCTCTAGCTTTCAGTATTTAGTTATTTACTGCTCACAAAAACTGTATGGGCCTCCATTGAAGACCCAGTCTTCTCAGGCATGTTTCCTGAAGAATGGCCGGTCCTTGTAATTTTGCTAGTAGGTTCTGGAGGAAGATTTGAATTGTTTCGGCCTTTCGGGTATTTAATGTTCTAGTGACACAGGGAAGAGGGTTGTCGGGGCAGGCGCAACTTAAAGCCAACTCCAGGGTACTTGAAACAAGGTTCCAAGAGAAAAAAATAAAAGAGAAATTACCAACTGGGGAAGCAGGGGGTGAGGCCATGTCTTAAATGTGTGGTTTAGAAGACAATCTATAGCATAATCCATAAGAGTCCATTGACAAAGAGAAACCTAGTGGGTCAGATAGAAAAAGGAGGGAAGGGCCTAGATTTAAAAATTTCTTATGTAGAGAAAGTCAAATAGAAACCCTAGCAAAGGTACAGGTAACTACGATATATGAAGTCATGCACTTTGGAAAGAGAAAGGTAATTTTCCAGCTTTATCTCTAAAATGTTAGGACTCCTAACCTAACCCTAGTATTTATCTGAAACAATATAATGCATATTCCTAACACCCGAATTTTATCTTATATTATATCCTACCACAAGAAGCCTGAGCTGCTTGGTGGAAAGTCAACCCAAGCTTGGGATAGGAAGGCACCAAATGAGCCAGGAGAAAGGAAATGCACACAGGTGAGGACTCTTTCAAAGATGAAGAGAAATGATGACCAAGGAGCTGCTGAAAGCTCTCCCTCTGCCCCATCAATGACATTTCGAGAAATTAAAAAAACAAAACAAAGACTGTAGAAGCTAGAAGAATCTATCAAAGGCCAAAGGCCACGATTATGTTCAAAATGGACAGATTATCATAGAGTGAGATAGAAAGAGTCATCCTTACCAATATGGGTCAATTGATCTTCTCCCAGTTATAGGAAAAGAAAATGCATGACTGATGGTGGTTAGATCAGTGATTACCCACCACAGCTCAGGGGGATAACTGGGGGGAAACTGAATTGTCATTTTGTTTTTTTTAAAAGAAACTCAGCATCACAGGGCCACCCACTAACAGGGGATCAAGTCAGAGTCATGGGATAGATTTCAGGGAAATACTTTTCAAACTGCCTGAAAGATGGAGGCAAAAATGAAACTTCAGGGACTGGACAATGACAACTGCTTTCTCGCTTCCTGCAGGATACGGCCCAGCTATCTCTGAATTTGGCTCAAAACCCAGGAAAGTTTGACATTTGTAGATAGGTCCTTAAAGAGAAGCATGTCCATACATTGCTAGAGCAGATTGTCTGGAATAGTGATGTTCGGTGAATGTAAGAGTGAATGGTGTAGCAACACACAGCTTTCTAGATAAGACAAGACCTTTTCCTGTAGAGACGGAATCACTGCAGCTGCCTTCACCAATCTCCAACCCCTGGGACTCTGGGGCCAGCAGAGGCTACAGGCAAATACGCTACCCCTGTGCCTCCCTTGTGTGAGCAGCTCACTCCGGACAGAATGTGATTTCTTTGACAGAGTTGGAAATGCATTCTAACTTTGAAATGCAGGTGGTGGTGGAAGTCTCTTCCTGCCAATTGATAATCCACATGAAATGCTGAACATTGGCATGTGCTGCATTGTCCCAGCCTGACCTTGTGCCTGGCCACGTGACTCACGCCATGAAAAACAAGTAAATCACCAAGACATTGGGAAATCCTAAGCTCTAGGGTGTTAAACTGTCTAAATTTATGGCTCCTGAAACCACTATGAAGTTGTTTAAGGCAAATGGAATGAATGGAGAGCTCTTGTGTTTATCACATGACGCAGGACAAAACAAACACCAAAAGGAGAGAATGATTAAAAAACAAAATTAATCAGATCATAGCAATTATCTGAGCACTGTATAACCACTAAAACCCCCCTCTTCCCTTTAGAAACTACCTTTCAGTTGTCCAGTTTGACACCAAATATTGCTCAAAAGGTCTCCATCATTCAAAGAAGTATTGAGAGCAGGTATTTTTTTTTTTAAAGCAACGCAGTAATAGTCCTTCTCATGATCTGTGGCTCTGGGAGGGTCTATCCCTGTGATTCCTAGATGGCTCTTTTCTCCTCCTGTTGGGAGTGGGGAGGAAGAGGGGGTGGCTGTCCTTAATTGTTGCTTTGTTTGATTTATTAAATTCAGAGTCATTATCTAAAATGGGGGTAATCTCATTAGAACTTAGACTGCTCTATTATTTCTTGGGATGGGGTTAATTTCATATTTGCAGAGTCATAAAGTAAAGAGTCCAAAATCCAATTACAAAGGCTTAATTTCATAGCAACTAAAGAGAAACATTTCTATCATAAAGGAAAATAAATACTGCGCTACTTCGGGGAAACGATTTGTCAGGAGCTGGGGGCCTGGGGGGAGGGTCTCAATTACTGTCATTCAACTTTGCATGATAATGCATCACCTAGGCTTGCAAGTCTGCGGAAGGGAGTAAATTCAATCAGCTGAAGTCAAAGTAATCAGGCTAGGGTTGACACATTTCAAGAAAGGTCAGCGTTAAGCACATTTTCTCCTCCTTAACTCAGTTACCATGTCATCGGCTCTGAGTTAGTATTCCTCCAGCTTGAATCTATAAAATGGATGTCTGCTGCAAAGCGCTAACTACGTTAGGACTAACAGGATTTATTTCACATTCTATTATTTGTTATTCCTCATAATTTTCCATGTGTCATGCTGGAAGACTGGTGAGGTAATGCGATTAAGCTCAGAGTTGAACAGCTAAATGTATATTAGCAAATCAATCTGAATTTGTGCATAACCCAATCATGGTCCCACTGGCCGTGGAGAGGAAATTCATTTGCTTACATTATTCTTTAACTCAGTTATCATTTGGCAGAATTAGGTGGTGCAGTCACATGTGCGTCCGTATTGGTATGGAAAAGCACCACTGGATTTTTTGGAAGCAACTGCCTTAAGTCGGGTGTTTCTGGAGGAATTTTCTCCTCCAGGGCAGCTGGCTGATTTTGCCTCTGGGAAGGGAAGTAAGAATGGCACCATGATGTGAATGCATTTCAGAGATGGCAAACCTTTATTGGGTGGTGGGGCAGGGAGTCCTGCCTTTGAGGTCCCCACCTTCCATCACATCCCCCTCATCCTACACCAGAACCGCGGTCCTTTGGGCACGGTCCACTCTCAGCTACTAAAAAGGGAGATCCAGCCGGAAAGAGCTAATTTTACATCTTTGTTTCTAAAGTTCCAAGGGGTTCCCAAGATGATTTAGAACAAAGGCAGAGCCTACATCAGATTCCAGCAAACTCTGGCTAGTTGCTCACATGACTCTGTGGTGGGCAAGGCTGGATCAGGCTCTGGGACCTGATCTTTCCCCACCAACCATGGGAGCTGTAACATGTTATCAGCCCTGGTCTTAGAAGAGAAATGATAGGTCCTGGCACCCTCCTGACTGCCCAGCAGTGACTTGGCACCCAGGGAGAAGACAACATACTGTGTGGGGTATAGCTCTTATGGTTAAATTAGCTTACACGGTATTTATCCCTGACGTGCTTTCTTGATAGTGTGATTCTGAAATGATATTGAACCTGTAAAACACCATAATGGCTTTACATTGCTAATTCTAGAAATTCTGCCCTATTACCCAAGGGCTGACACTCCAAAAAGGTGCCTCTGGGCAGTGGAGTAAACAACATGAACTTTCCATGAGTAAAGCAGAGTACTTTTCTATAACGGACACAAAACCACTTTCAAAAACTGTCCTCTCTGGGGATCTGTTTGACTTTCAGTATGAAAAAGTCAGAAACAGACAGAAGCGCCAATTATTTACCCAATAGAAAACCAAAGCCCTGACTGCTTTGGTCCCTGCCTTCCCTGTACCTGATTAGAATAAGGCTCATGCAAATTAAGCTGAACACAGACACAGGAGGAAAAAAAATGCAACCAACAACCTGGTGAAGAGGAAGGATCACCAGATTTTAAATCACTAGTCTTAGATTCAAACTCAACTTCTCCATTTGGTACTAGAAGCTCTCCCGGTCTGTCTCTGCTGGAACATTAAGACTGGACCAGGTATACAAGAAGTTTCTTTTGGCTAGCACAGGGAACTATATTTAATATCTTGTAGTAAACTATAATGAATACGAATATGAAAAGGAATATATGTCTGTATGTGTATGACTGAAACATTATGCTGCACACCAGAAATTGACACAACATTGTAAACTGACTATACTGCAATAAAAATTTATTAAAAAATGAAATTATTGGTAAAAAGAAAAAAAGAAAAAAGACTCGACCACATGGAGCAGCTAAGGTCCTTCCCAGCAGTTAATTGTCATTAATTCTTGATATCTCTCTCCCTTACTCATCCTTTTCCATGCCTCCCTCAATCCTGTTCCTTCACATAATCATGGGACTCCAGTGTCTTTCAAAAGACCTTTACGTTTCCTTTTTTGTTTCACATAAGTCAGCTTCACTGATTTTTTTTTTTGACTCTATAATTAAATCAGTGTTTTGGTTTTCATCATCTGTGAAATACATGAAGTCACTTTTGGATGCACTTTTCATGACGTGTTGGCCATGCCAAGCTCTGCAGGCTTAGGTCACAAGATGACAGGAACATAGCTCCATCAGTGCCTGACATAGGCTGGGCTGAGAAATAAAGGAGGTAAAATAAACTGAACACTGTTCTCTGTTACAGCGGTTTTGTACAGAGATCGTCATGGCTAAGTAAGGTTGAGGGTTTAATTTTGGAAGTCAGGGCAACTTTGTCTTGTATAAAATTCACCAGCGATCGAGTACAGTGTGATAATGAAACATGAGTGTGTGTTGCACGTGGGGTTGTTTTGCACATAGACGGGACAGGTCCGCAAGTCAGCTCCCTGGGGGATATTTGCATTTACGCCTGCTCTTCTCTTAAACACAAAAGAAAGCGGACTTTTTTTTTTTTAAGGCATAAACTCACCAAGACAAAAGGGGTGGAAAAGTGGAAACAGCAACAAACTTGTGGGAGCTGTGAGGCTGATGGTATTTATTACCATCTTTAACTGTTTTAATCTTAGTTTTGTTTCATTTCGTTTTGATTTTTCCTCTCCTCTTAACAGAGGCACTGGGGATTGAACCCAGGACCTTGTGCATGCCGAGCATGCGCTCTACCACTGAGCTATACCCCAATGCCCCATCTTTAACTACTTTAAGATAATTTGATGATTATTAACAGCACTACAAAAACAAAGACATATACTCCTTTTCATTGCCCAAAGGCAACACCCTAGTTTTGCTTCTCCCTTAGTAACCACTGTTCCCACGCCTTTGGCTGCCTTTTGCTTCCTGTTCCCAGTTCAAGCATTGCCTCCTCTGTGAGCCTTCCTCAAACATGTAAGGCAGCGCTGGTGTCTCCTGCTTCTCTGTTCCCATGGCAGCCTGCCCTCAGCGTCTACCAGGACCTTACCACACTGCATCACCATGACTTCTTACTTATTATTAGCCCCAGTCTGTGAGCTCCTAGATGGCAAGGGCCGAATCTCATTCAACCGTGTGTCCCGGGCGTTTGGCATCATTAGATGCTTGCTAAATGCTAGTCAAGTAAACAAGCAGCTGCTTGGCCATTGCTGATTGGAGATCCACTTCCATAGTTTACCATGTTGGTAGGAAGTAGCTGCCCAACCAGGGACTACATTTCCTGGTCCGTCTTGCATCCAGATAAGTCCTGTCCAAAGTTCTGCCCAAAAAAGATTGGCCAGAAGTTAACAGGCACCAGTTCTAGGCCTGAACAAGAACATATGTGCCATTCTCCATGCTCTCCCTTCCTTTGTCTGCTGGCTGGATTCAATGCCCCGGTGACAGCTGTCCCTGAATGATGCTCCTCCCAATCACTGGGCCGTATGTAAGAAAGAAACCTCTGATGTGTCAGGCTATTGACAATGGGGGCTTATTTGTTACAGCAGCTAGTACTACTCTACCTGCATGATACACTGACCAACTGAATGAATGAATGCACGGCCAATGCCGACCACCTGCAGCACGTCCATGGGAAAGCCCATCACAAACAAGGACTCGACATCACCTTCAGGAGATCCAGTTTCAGCGGCAGTTCCCCTTGAGTGGATGAGCACAAAGCACCCACAATGATGCTCATGTACTCCTCAGCGTTGATGACTGACAGCTGCTCCAAGATGCTGAGCGAGGCTCCCCGGTAGCACTCATCATCCAGGAAGATCTTGATGAAGGGCACCATGCCATGGTCTTTCAGGACAACTGGGGACCAGACAGACAGTGTGGGGCTAGAGCGATGTGGGCCTTGGCACCTTAGTTTCAATTACAAGGAAAGCTTTTCCTTACAATTTCCAAGTTTGTTGGGCTACATGTGTATCTGTTTCTCCTGTTCATTAGAAAAAAATTTTTCCCCATAATCTATACCCACTGTTAAAATAAGAAGAGGAAGAAAGAAACTATGGAGCTGAGAATTAAAAAGAAAAACTGCTTTCTTCTCCAGTAAGAATTCTAGTTTTGAAAAAAAAAATTTCCCCCTTTTCCTTTTTTAAAAACCTAAATAATACAAACTGGATACACCCTCTGGCCCTTATTTCCACATATTCCCTAATCCGGATTCAATGGCAGTTTGCTCTTATCTCTGCCAAAATTCTTTTTTTTTTAATTTTTTGGGGGGTAATTAGGTTTAGTCATTTATTTTTAAATGGAGGTACTAGGGATTGAACACAGGACCTCATGCATGCCAAGCATGCACTCTGCCAATCAAGCTATACCCTGCCCCTTCCAAAATTCTTATTGAAAGCAAACCAGAATTCAAGTTAAGAAGATTTTTAATTTCTAGGTAGTTTCTCAGGGGAGGCGAAGGGGGTAGGTAGGATTGAAGAAATTTGGCTAGTGGTATTTTTGTTTGTTTAAAAGTAATCTTGTGGGGCAGGAAGGGTATAGCTCAGTAGTAGAGCACATGCTTAGCATGCACGAGGTCCTGGGTTCAATCCCCAGTGCCTCCATTGAAATAAACAAACAAACAAACTTAACTACCAACCCCTCTCCAAAAAAAAAAATAGTAATCTCAGGACTTTCTTCCCTAGGATTGATCTTCGGAGTAGTCACGTGTGGAATAAGAATTAGGAAGTAACTGGACTCTTCAAATGGCACGATATGTTTTTGAGCTGATCAACTCAATAAGGCAGGATTTCCCCAATTATGCGCCAAGTGCCCCTTACATGGAAATCTCCTTGGAGGCGTGTTTAGAAGCAGATTCCTGGGCTCTACCCTGATCTGATAATTAAATGTCTGGGAGGGAGTCTAGGAATATGCACCTCCATATTTACCAGCCCCTTCAGAGAATCCTGTATAGTCTAACATTAGAGACCCTCTACCATAATGAAGTAATCATTCACACTTGGTGTAGCTGACCTATGAGGGCCTCAGATAAAGATGCCCCAAATCACCAAACCCACTGATGTCACCTGTTGAGGCATCTGCTTCACAATATACTACATTTGCACATTTATCACGTGCACGTATTTTTTTAAAGCATGGGAGCTTCATGTCTTAGGAAGCGAAAACTTTTTTGAATGGATGGAGCTACTAAAGCCATCATGGGCTGGAAGCACATCAAATTATGTTTCTTAAAAATGATGAGCTTTCTTTGCTTGTATTTTACAATTTGAATCTTAAAAAAAAAAGGATCCATAATCAGTATAGCAGGATATTGAAAGATTTTACTTGAGCGGGATGGGATTTCTGTGGTCTCATAAATTTAAGATAACTCTTTGATTCCAAACCTTATTTAGCATCTACCAATTTACTGAGATGACTGAACATCAACCAGCAAATAGACATTAGCCACAGTGGGTCGGTGTATTCCTGAGATAAAACCTTTCAACACTGACATAAATCACCATGAAATAGCTGATATTTTACCAAGCAATGAAATGACAAGGTGAATTTGCTACCATCCTTACCTGCGTTCCGAACCGACCCTTTCAGAAGCGTGACCACGGTTCTTAGCATCACACAAGTCAGTTCTCTTTCTGTGTCCTGAACTCCAGGATTGGACTCTTTGTTTCCTGCTGATTTTAAGAAGCAATGAAAAAAATTTTAATACACATGATATGGCCCCAAATCTCCAATTCCATTAGTTTTCTATCCTCTTAAGGAAGGTGAATATCATGCTTCCATTATAAGGGAATGTGGATCCCAATTCATGTGAACTTACAACCCTCCCATTAGATCCCTGAGGGCAAAACCAGTTCTGTGTGTTCACTGTTGAATCCCCAGCGCTGCAAAGTGCTTGACACAAACAAAGAGGTATACATTTGGGGAAGGAAGGAAGGAAGGAAGAAAGGAAGGGGCAGACAAGGAGACAAAGTATCTAAGAAACAAGAGGAAACAGTTAACAATAGAAAACACAAAGTGAAACTGGATACATCAGCTGATTAAAAAGTTCAAATTTTTCTAGGAATGGTCATAGGTCTGGGGTTGGATTTAAAAGCAAATTCAACGCCCGGCCACTGAAAAGCAACACACAGCTAAGGTACCACAGGCCCATTATGCAAAAAGACTGTCCAAAGAGCAACAGAGAGATGCATATAACAAAATACTTTCCAAAGCCTGCCCAGAGACCCAGATGTGCCCTGACCTCATCTGCAAACACTTTCAGGAAGGCACAGGTCCTTCTTGGACTCCAAAAGTTGTGAGAGCTCCCCCTTGCATGTTTAATCCCAGTCTTCCACACAGGGGTACAGAACCTATGGGGATAAGATGACTAACATTCTTGAGCATCTATTATGTGCCAAGCACAGCAATGGGTCCTTTTCAGATATTTCCACATTTAATTCTCACAACATCCCTAGATGTAGATACTATTCACCCATTTAACAGAAGAAGAAACAGGTTCATAGAGGTTAAGTAACCTGTTCAGGATCACTCAGCTGGTAAGTAACAGAGCCAGGATTCCAGCCAGAGCTGTCTGGCCCCAGTGTCCACGCTCCTCCCGCTCAGTGTCTTCCTTGCAGAGAGGCCCAGGAAGCAAACTGATGACTTAAGCTTGAGTCTAAAGTAGAATTCCAAAAGCGGCCAGTGACTAGAGAGCCCCCGGCCCCTCCCAGCCAGTGCAGGAGAAGGAGAAGACGTAGAAAGGTGGGGAGAGGTGAGTGGCTGGATTCCTGTGTCCTGAGGTCTCTCCTCCAGGCTGAAATCCGAGAGTGGCAGGAGTGGGCAGGTGAGAAAGAGCCAAGAGGAACTGGGAAAGGAGTTTTCATGCCCTGCTTCTTATTTGCAAGTTGGTGGAGGTGGGGGTTTTGGACAAGCACACAGAGTGGCCCCAGCAGGGTACGTGCACGGAGCGTGGTTAGAAGTGGCAGAGCCCAGCCTGCACTCCTGAGTGTGCCCCCTGCCCGGACAGAGGACACCCTGGAGTCCCATGGCGGGAGCAGAGGCTGCTGAGGTTGAGAGCCCAGTGTTGGGGCCAAGGCAGGGGTGGGTGAGGGGATGCTGCCAAGGAGCCATGGCTGCACAGCCCTGCAGGGCATCCGAAAGTGTGGCCAAGGTTTGGAGGGGCAAGCTGGGCCAGCACAGCCCTGGTGACTGATCCCTGCTCCCCGTGGAGGGCCAGGGGACCTGACAGCACCATGTGAGCAAGGGGGCCATATCCCAGCTGACCCCAGATGGGTCCTCCCCAACTCCCACCAGAGCCCCAGGCCTCTCCGAGCTCCCTTGCCCTTCCCTTTGCATCACTGAGGACCTGTCCTGCTGCTGCCTCCCAGCTACACACTCAGCCCATGTCTGGAGGAGGAGATCTCTGAAAACTAAGAGCTCATCAGGCCTGACTTAGCCCACGAGTCTGCTTAAAGTTGGGGACGATCAGGCAAGATAAAGGAAACAGGGAGGCTGCCAGCTCTGTGAAGCCATGTACCCCAGGGGTACCATCTCTGACGCTCATGGCACCAGGTGACATGGAGGGGCTCACTTTCTCTGTTGTGTTGATGGGTGGCGGGGCTGGCACCCAGACCAGGCCCAGCCAACACTGACACCCACCCCTTGTCATTCCCCCTCCCCCTCCCGACGCTCCAGGGAGGCACCTGACTTCCTCAGGATCTTGGCCTGCTTCCGCAGCTGGGCGAGCAGCAGGCCCAGGAGCCCCGAGTCCCGGAAGATGTCAGTGAAGAGCGGATCTGCGCCAGCTATTCTGAGGACACTCTGCAGGGCCACGAGGGTGCAGAGTGGCTCTGGGCTCTCCTTGATCAGGCGCTGCACCTTCCGCAGGATCTCATGGGGCACGTAATGCATCTCAAACACCAGGGCCTCCAGCAGCTGGAAGAAGTGCACCTGCACTGGGGTTGGCTTCAGATGCACAATCTCCACAAACTGCGAGATGGGCTGCAGGGTCCACTCCAGCAGAAAGAAGTTGCGAGCATTCCAGGTCCACATGGTCTTGATGGATAACAGGACTTTGGTGCAGAGGACGGGGTTGCTAGCTTTGTGGAAAACATTCTGCAAGACTTGGAAGGCCTGAAGGTTCTTTACGGTCACCCCTAAAAATGCAAAAAGGAATAATCTGCAAGTCGTTTCTCCTTCTGGGGCCTAGAAACACATGCTTGCATTATCATTAGGAAATATCATTTAAAATTTCTATTTCCTAGCTCCCGTGGGTAAATGTCTAGAGAAGTCCAGAAAAGCCATCTGCCCAGGGTGTGAGTAAGGCTAGAACTGCATTGTCCAAGACATGGTGGCTAATTAAGCATCCAACATGTGGCCACTGTGACCTGAGGTGCACCATGAGTATAAAAATACACACCAGATTTCCAAGACATAGCACAAAGTAAAGAATGCAAAAAAAAAAAAAGGAGAAAGAGAAGCCATTAACAATTATTTGTATGACTACACTTTTTGCTAGTAATATTTTGGATTTATTGGGTTAAATGAAACTACTGTATATAAAATAGACAAACAACAAGGTCCTACTGTAGAGCACAGGGAACTATATTCAATATCTTGTAATAACCTGTAATGAAAAAGAACCTGAAAAGGAATATATAATGTATAACTGAATCACTATGCTGTACACTAGAAATGAACACATTGTAAACCGACCATACTTCAAGAAAAAAGTAAAATAATTTAACGTGTTTCTTCTTAATTTTTAAAAATTTTGCTACTAGAACATTTAAAATGACATAATGTGGCTCATATTCTATTTCCACTGGGCAGCGCGGGGGCTGGAGGATTGCTCTCAGTCAATTAAAGTCAAATGATGTTGAAGAGCACTAAGCAAAGTCAGTTTCATTTCTAGGCAAGCTGTTAAATAAAGACTCTTTCTGAACCCACCCCGTCGTTTCTCTGCAGCTGGAAGGTTAAGCTCTCACAGCTTTGCAGCCTCCACTCTCTGGTCTGCACAGGTCTCTCTGCCCATCTTCCCAGACTCACCCAGATGTTTCTGGCCACCATTTCTTTTTAGCCTCAAAACCTCTCTTGAATAGGACTCTCTGTGTAGACTTTCCTGACTGAACCGGGCAGAGCTAATCCTCCCACCTGGAGTCACCACTGTGTCTGTTAATCAGCCAGTTACTGAGTAGATTATGGCTCAGGTCGTGTGTAACCATTTCTGCAGAGCATTTTTTTTTAAATGCAGGTACTGGAGACTGAACCCAGGACCTCATGCATGCATAGCACATGCTCTACCACTGAACTATACCCCCACCTCTTCTACAGAGAAGTTTTAAGGAGCAGACACCTGCCGTGTTCGCACTGGTGCCCAGCTTGGGGCAGAGTGGCTGCTGGACAGAGAGCAACAGTGTACGTTGATTGAGTTCATCCATCAATCGATCAATCGATCAATCGATCCCTCAGAACTAAGTAGCCACTGACTCTGAGCCTGGGTGGCAGTTTCAGGGCCATCAGTGCCTGATATATAAGCAGATGTCACCAAATAAGTCACACCAGGGGTGGGGTTGGAGAGCAGAGGCTCCCTCCATTATCTGAGAGAGTCTTTGCCTTTTTTAAGCAAACATTTTCTCTCAGTCCCACCCAAGACACGTGGAAAACTCTATCAAGGAGAGATTTTAAATTCATAGGTAATCTCCCCAAAGGCATGACAACACCAGACCCTACTGTGTCACTGACAGGTGCCACAGGTTTGTTTCTGCACAAAGAATCAGGGAAAGAGCTGTGTCGTCTTGTCAGGGCACGGTGCCGCGTGCTGCCGGCTCCCAGAGTCACAAGATGACCCACCAGAAGTTTCGTGGTGGAACTTGAAACCTTCCAGCTGTGGGTACGTGACGCTGTCGAACACCTTCAGCTCGGACCTTCCACAGGTTGTCAGCCATACCACCAGCCCGAGGAGCTCCTCCAGGTGGGGGTCCCCATCACTCTGGGTCAGCTCATCATACCTGTGGGGACAGACGAGGTCAGCCCCAGGGATGCCTGGGACAGAGAAGCTATGTTTACTCGTGGTGCTGCCTCACAGGGATGCAGAGGCAACGCAGGGAGGCAGAGGCAATGCAGATGCAATGCTGGGCAAGACCCCAAAAGTCTCCACCAGTTCAGCCCCAAAGGGCAAGGGGAGTGCCCTGGATAAAAGTCACTGTTTGCAAATGTCAGCCCTAGATCTCAGGATGTGCAGTTAGAATACCCGAGCTACAGTATCTGCTCATGGGAAGGCTGCTTTCCATGGCCGGAACCCCCACAAAAGGCAGGTGCTCTGGGCCACAGCGGGGCAAGAGCATCCTCAAAATGAGGGACTTAATATTTCAGAAGAGCAGTGATACAAACATCATGGGAAAGAATCGGACTTCGTTAGATTTCCTCATGCTCATTTCAGGGGTGAGTATTGCTTCCAGCTACTTAAGTGGCGGTGGGCTGCCTTGCTCCTCTCATGAACGACTTGTCTCTCAAGTCTCCCTGCAGCTCTGCAAACCCGTCAAGAGTGTAAGTGCTGGCGATGGGACCTCAGTTAAGGCAGAAAGGAAAACAAATGAGCTGAGAGGGGTCCCTCCTGGCACTCCCTGGCGCAGGTTTATTTTCCCCTCCTGCCTTCCACAAGAAGCCTGGGGAAAATCAACCAGCCACATAACCAAAGAAATGTTCAGAAACTGCTGGGACACAGACCACCAACGGTAGCAGTTAGTTATGACCCAGACTCCTGTGAAATAGGGCATCCCCACAGGGACGTGCATTCTTAGCGTCCTTTTGGAGGAAGGCCCTCGGGGTGTTGTCATCTAATCCCATTCCTTTGGGATTTTTCAGTCCCCTTGTCCAAGCCATCCGTCTAGACCGGAAGCCTGATTCTGCAGCAATGTCCGTGAAGCACGTGGTAAGCCACACCCCACGGAGAAGTGCCGCTCATGTTCAGAGCAAAGCCCAGGGGAATTTTTTGTGGCCATGCCCTTAAGCAGATTCCCCAAGATCAGTGGAAGAGTTTGGAGCATCAAGGAATTTCTTTAACTTCTGTCCCTTGGTTTATCCAATCCCTGGACCCTTCCTGAAGACGACACAGCAGGTCAGAATGGAGGAGATTAGTCCAGAGCCAGCTGAGTGACGTCTTTGCTTGGGTTTCCCATGGGTCAAGAATTGGAGAATAACAGTAGGGGAGAGGCCCTGTGAGACATGCAAGGGAAGGAAGCCAGTATGGGAGAATTATCCAGCAAGAACTACTGGAGTTTAAACCTTCCAGAGACTCTAGAAGGCGGGGTAGAGCTATTCCACCCAAGGCGCAGTGTGGCTGGGCATTCATCCATCAGCTTCTGCCAGGCACTGGTAGAGGGCTGGTCCTGGGGGTTGCTGATTTTTCAGCACTTCCAGCCCCTAGATATGCAGGCAGAGCTGGTTATAGCCATCCCAGAAAGCCCTCCAACACAGGAAGGGGATTCTGACAGGTGGCTGTCGGGCCAGCAGGCGTGCAGGTTGTCCAGGCCACCAAACGGACTTTGTAAAACTATTACTGCAATCACCCATGGGTTTTCTAAAGAAGGGCTACCAAACCAGGCTGCACACAGAATTACTTTCACAATATATGCCCAATATATGTCTTTCTTCAAAGCACCATCAATGATTCTGAGGGTCTAGGCTCCCACAGTTTCTTCCCCACCAGGCACAGCCACTTACCGAAGTAACACTTTGAGTAGCAGCGGGTAGCCCTCCCCGTTCTCAAACTCCAGGAACAGGGCTGAAGAGACGGGGTAGGAGTCCTTCACAAAGCCCAAGATCAGGCTCACCGCCTCGCTCACCTCGGGGGCGGGGAGAGTGTCTGCAAGCCGGGAGAGGTTCTGGAGGGAGATCTTGATGCAATCCATGGCTGCGGGAGGGAAACACACCTCTGCTGAGTTCGGCGGCGATAGATTTCTGCACGGGTCATTCCCTCCCCACTCTCCTTTAAACTGTATATCAAGATGTGAACAAGGATTCATCCAGGACACTTTTCTGCTGGCTCTTGGATCAAGAAGAAGCCTCTTCTTTGGGAAGGGTCACCCTGAGAGCCATGCTCTGGGGCCCAGATGGAGAGCAGGTGAACCAGGAAGAGGAAGGAAGCCTCTTAACTGCCTACTTCTAACTCCCAGAGCACACAGAGGAGGGTCCAGGTCCATTAAATAACAAGATGCAAGACACAAGCCCTGAGGGTCACAGAAGACCTTCAGGAAGCAACGCCGAGCAGATATCAGCTTGGTGAAAAGTGCAGGGAAAGATAAATGAATACATGGGAAGGTAAGGGGCAAAAAGGTGGTGTATTTCAGCTACCAAAGAATCCAGGGAGGTGGAGCCTGGGAGTGTGGTCCACACGGGTAGGGGGGAAGGCAGGTCCCGCTGGTGTGCGGCCTGCTGTGGGACCTGCCGGTTACCCCAGGGCTGCAAGAAGCCAGGGGAAGATTTGAGTCAGAAGAGAGGTGTGTGCATTTTGATGGATCACAGTTTCTACATCTCTTTCATTGGAGGAAGCCTTCTCTGAGTATCAGGAAAGCCACCCCAGTGGATCAGGAAAGTGCCTACGAGAATTTGAGACAACGCATGCTCAGTCCCCCACCTGCAGGGCCTCAGACGTGTTCCGGAGTCTGCCTGCCGGACAGGGCAGAACCAAGAGCTGTGGGCTTGGCGGGTAAACACCAGGCCAGTCATTATTGCTGACTTTCTCCTCTGCCTGTACACCCAAGGAAACTACTCATTCTCCTACAGGGGTCCTTGGCACGGGGCTCTAGATGGCCACCTCCTCAATGAGGTGGAGTTTTTCTTTTCCAGCTGTTGTCTTGGGCAGCTGAGAGTAATGACTGCAGTGAGAGACCCCCGCCACCAATGCAGGCAGCCTTTCCCCAGGGGTCTCCGACTATGGCCTGTGGGGAGTGCCTGGGCTGCTGAATGCCTCAGGTGCAGCCCAGCCCTCCAGCATTACCGCGGGCCCTGGCCTCACCGGGAACTTTCAGTCCCGAAACTGGGGGTGACGTTTTGTCCCAGTGCTCAGTTACAGTAAGAGGGAAGCCACGTACTTTCCCAGCTCTCAGCAGCTGACACCCTCCGTTACAAGAGGCCCCAGAAAGATGACAGGTCACAGGGCAAGCGTTTGCAGACAAGCAGGTCACCTGAGCTGACTCAGACCCCCACCTCTCCCAAAAAAGACCCACAACTTGGAGTTAACCCAAGGGATGGATGGCTGTGCTCCCAAGAGGCACTTCTGATGGTGGAGCTGAAAAATGGTGGTGTGTGGTGGGTAGGGAGGCCAGCTGATCAAGCTATGCCCCTGGGAGTCATGCAGAACCTCCCTCCCCACCCGTGATGGGCCAGCACCTGAGAGGAGGCCAACGCATTTTCCCAAGATTCTGTGAGCCACGGTGCTGTCTGTGCTTCCCAGCATTACCTGGGTCCTCGGGAGACAGATGATGCTAAGGGAGGCCCCTGGGACTGCTAAAGGAACTGAGTCCCTCAGTGTCTTGCCTTTGATCACACCTGCATAATGATGCTGTGATGCTGATGTCTATGGGGCATCCACTGGGTACCGGGAGCTATCTAAGTGCTTCAAATATGGCACCTCATTGACGTATCACACAGTCCAATGAGATGAGTGGGATTATTACCTCCATTTTACAGAGGGAAGAACGGACACATCGAGGCAGTGAAGTGCCCAAGGTCACTCAGCTTGGATGACAGAGTTGGAGCCCACACCCTGGCTGTCTGGTTCCAGAATCTACAGCTTTAACCCCTGCATGTGCTGCCCAGAGCAGAACTCAAGGCACTGGGATCGGGCATCTCCAGGTTTAAAATTTAATTCTCTTCCTCACTAGCTGGGGAGCCTGGGCAAATTCTTCCATCAGGGTCTTACAGTATAAAGTGGACCCGCAGACAACCCCCGGTCTCCTGGGTCCTACCCTGCAGGTATTGGAAGATGCTGAGGTTCTGGGCCTTGGAGATTGCCTTCAGGACACAGTAGGTGGGCTCCTTCCAAAAGGAGCAGCTGTGCTCTCGGAGACAGGTGGTGGCAATCACAAGAGACTGGAGCTCATTTCCTGAGAGAAGTCCCTCCAGACCCTGAGCGTCACTGCAAAGGTTGAGCAACATCTGGAAGATAAAAGCCAGAGAGACTCTGGTTAGGAAGCCTCCTTCCTGTGATGGATTTGTTCCCTGCTTTTCCATGTCTCAGTGGGAAGGTCTGGGTTGCCTGCGGTTACCATCTGCCCCAGACCAGCATGGTCAACCGTGCCCACTAGAAAAGGGTGACAGGGCTGAAGTGTGGACTCCAAATCCTGTACAAGCAGTGGTTAATTTTTCCACATCAGAATACTAGAAAAGTGACTCAGAGAGGTGTCTTTATACAAAAATGCAGAAAATGCCACCAATGATAAAAGTACAGAATTCACAGGGTTCAGTGCTGTTTAAAATTAGAGCCGTGTTCCTGAATCACTGGTTGACACAGAAACCCTACCTTTCCATGAGATCACGAGTACGATCCTATAGCCTGTTAACTAGGCTCCTTGCCCCTGCCAGTCCAGTGTCCCTGTGGCTACCAGACGGTCTTCCAACACCTTCCTATGCACTTGGGATAGAAACCAAACACCTTAGCCTGGCTCAGAGAGGTGTGTGTGGTCCAGCCCTGCATCATCTCCCACATTATCACATATACTCTCTCTTTGGCTCTCACTGGGTTAACTAGATCTTCCTCTAGTTTGGCAAATATGGAAACTACCTTCTGTCTGAATCCATGAGCCCTTTCTCTCCCACTGATGGAGTCCCAGCTGGACAGCAATGGAGCTCGGTGCCAGATGTCTTTCCAGGCCACCCCTGCAGTGGCAGGTGAATGTGGCCATGTGGCTCTTGGCCTGAATGGCCATTTCTGCTCCTCTTCCATCTCCTCCTCATTCATGTCTCCATCTCAACCTTCCTGGTTCAATGCCATTTCTTCAGAAAAGCCTCCATTTAGGCTCTACTGTAAGTCAGGTCCACTTGTCCTCACCTCCCAGCACATCTTTCATCTTCCATCAGAGCACTTAAAAAACTGCACGCTGCTCATTTATTCCTGTGACTTCTCCCCCTACTTTGCTTCTTCTCTCCGTCACCTCGATGGTGGGACCTGAGACCCTCTGCTGAAGTGTTCACGCTTGCCCCTGGACAAACGTCTCCTCCAGCAACAGAATACAAAGTAACCATAAGGGACTAAAAATAACTACACACATGCTCAGCAGTCCATCAGTTATAGACAGTAAGATACAAAAAGGCCAAAATCCCACCTGCCATTTCCGAGGTGGGAGCAAAAGCAGCGTACAGCACGTGATCCCTGCACAAAGCACCACCAAGGGGGTGGGCAGACCACCTAAGCCAGTCCTCCTGTCCAACCCACCAGTAAGCCCCTACCATCCCCCCATTTAAGGGTCCAGCTCGCCCCTCCTCAGGGAGAGAGCAAGGGAACCTGTTCCTTGTTTTTGCTCCCTTGTGCTGCAGCACGAGTCCCAATACAGCTTCACCTGAATTCCTCTTCTGGCCTTTTATCTATTTCTATTGAGTTAAAGAGTCTAAGGACCCAGGTCAGTAACAGAGGGCTGACCTGGGCCCTCCAGGAGATTAGAGGAGCTTCAGAAGTCGTAAGGGAGAGATGAAAGGATGTCCAAGGAACAGAGTGTGGTCCTGGCCCCCAGGGAGACAGCCCTCTGCTCACTCACCTGCACAAACATCCTCTGAACTGGAGCATCACTCTCAAAGAGCTCATCCTTCTCCAGAGGAAAGACAAAGAAGAGATAAAGGCACTGCTAGAAGCAGGGCTGGGAGCCCAGATTCAGCAACTCTGCCCAGAGTCTCCTGCAAAGGAAAAGCAAGATGTGACCCAGGGCCGCAGAGCCGCGCAGAGCACAGCTCCAGACCCAGACCGACGAGCTCGGCCAGTGCGGCCGTTTTAGCAGGAATGTGGGTAAGTCATTTCCTCTTTCTGGGTAACACATTCTTAGTTAAGAATGGAGACAATTGCAGAACCCACCTGGGATGTTTAAGTTTATATAAAGTGAATATTATCAACATATCTTTTTTTATTGAAGTATAGTTGATTTACAATGTTGTGTTAGTTCCTGGTATAAAGCATAGTGATTCAGTTACACATATTCTTTTCCATTATATTCTTTTTTTATATTCTTTTCCATTATAGGTTATTATAAGATACTGAATATAGTTCTCTGTGCTATATGGTAGTACCTTGTTGTTTATCTATTTTACATATAATAGTATGTGTATGTTAATCCGAAACTTCTAATTAATCCCTCCCCCCTTTTCCTTTTAAGTAACCGTTAAGATTGTTTTCTATGTTTGTGAGTCTGTTTCTGTTTTGTAAAAAAGTTCATTTGTATCATTTTTTTTTCTAGATTCCACATATAAGTGATATCAGATGGTACTTCTCTTTCTCTGACTTACTTCACTTAGTATGATCATCTCTACGTCCATCCATGTTGCTGCAAATGGCATTACTTCATTCTTTTTTATGGCTGAGTAGTATTCCATTGTATATATGTATGTGTGTGTGTATGATGCATATATACATTGAGGTGCAAATATCTTTTCAAATTAGAGCTCCCTCTGGATGTATGCCCAGGAGAGGGATTGCTGGATCATATGGTAAGTCTATTTTTAGTTTTTAAAGAAATCTCCATAATGGCTGCACCAAACTGCATTCCCACCAGCAGTGTAGGAGGGTTTCCTTTTCTCCACGCCCTCTCCAGCATTTATCATTTGTGAACTTTTTAATGATGGCCATTCTGACTGATGTGAGGTGATACTTCATCGTAGTCTTGATTTGCATTTCTCTGATAATTAACAGCACTGAGCATCTTTTCATAAACGTTGTATCTTTTATACAATAGATGGATGACAGGAAGGAAGGAAAGGAGGGAGGGAGGGAGGGAAAGAGGGAGGAACTGGTACAGAGCAGAAATCAAGGGCTTTCCTGGCAATCACACTGCTGGTTTTGGTAGGTTTCCTCCTGGTGAGGGAACTGGAAACTCAATCAGGACAGGGTGGTTGATAACAAGCACAAGCAACTGACTTAAAGACGTGATCAGGATGCTTTCCATCCCCTCATCCAGATCTAAGACCTCACCACCACCAAACAGCACTATAGGCGAGGACCAATAATCCAGAGAGCCACCCCTCAACTAAACAGCCCCAGGGCTCCAGGCAGAGAGGAGACAGGCAGTCAGCAGAGGGGACAGCCTGAGTGTGGAGCCTCCTGGGCCTTTCTTCTATGGGCTCTGCCTGCCACTCCACTGGGATTACTGCGGCTGCAGCCTCTGCGTGTGTGTGCACGTATGCACGAGAGTGAGCACAGGTGTGGTCTAAACCAGAATCTAAAGTATATTGTCCCACCCAGTGGACTAATCTGACAGACGTGGTGGGTAAATGAGAAAAAGAGAAGGGAAAAGTGTGCAGTCCAGGCCAGCACCAGGAGTGCACTGCAGCCCGCTAGTACCCGAAAGCTTCCACTACAGCTGATGTCTGCCCCTGGATTTGACACGTGGCCCTGCGTGGCTGTGCTCGGGGTGGCTCTCCCTGTCCTCTGAGCTGTGCTGGCTCCACTGAAAGCCAGCTGCCTATTTCCCTCACTGCTTTTAGAGCTGACCCCTCGCAGCAGAAAACAAAGCTTTAGGTTTTTACAACTCAGACTGGAAACAGTCCTGTCCCAGGGGTTGAAGAGCCCCTGCTCTGTGCCTCAGGCCACAGTGCCTGATGGTGGTCCAGGCAGTTTACATGGAGGAAGTCAGGTGGTCCTCCCTCCAGTGAACACCTGTGCTCCTCTCTCACCTCCTGGCACTGTCTCCACTTGCCTGTCCGATGTCCGTGTTCACCGTTACACTGAGGGCAGCCACCACCCCAGCCTGGTTCCCTGACATTCCTAGTCTGGGCACCAACGTGGCACACAGGCTAGATGGATGAGCCTCTGGGCCTGCCCTGTGGCAGGGCTTCTGGCCACTTCTGCTGATGGCCACCGCCCCCAGGGAGTGCTTCCACCTGAGAGGACGCCAATCATCGGCAAAGCCCTCCAGGTCCCCGCCTCACGGTGGGAGGATGTGACTGCAGCCAAGGGCCCAGGCGGGAAGGGAAGAAGGAGGAGCCAGCCTTAAGGGATCGGTGCCTACAGGCCTGGCTCCTTTAGTCTGAGTTTAGCAGGAGGCAGGAAAGAACAGAGGCTCGGAGCACGGGCTCCGGAGTCAGGCTGCAGCTGCACGTCACGGGGGAGCCTGAGTTCTCGCCACCAGTGCAGCACCACTGTAATCTGACTCACAGGATTTGGGGAGGATTAACTGGTACAACGCAGGGGATGCCCCCACCTTGCCCTGACACACGGGAAATACAGTCCATACACACCTGCCGTTGTCAAACCTCACACTTGCCCTAGAACAGAAGTATTAATATTCCTTGATCTTTTACTCTATATTTTTTCTTTAATGGAGGTAATAGGGATTGAACCCAGGACCTCGTACATGCTAAGCACGTGCTCTACCACTGAGTTCTACCCCCTTCCCTAATTTTAAAATTAACAACACAACGGAGATGCAGAGAGGTCAAATACTTTGTTCAAGGTGACACGCAGCTTGTCAACTGAAAAGACAGGATTTGAAGATGAACTTCAGGCTCTGAAGTCCACATTCTATATCAGAAGGGGAGTTGGGGAGGAGAAACGATACATCAGTTTCATGAGAAAGAAGACACTCTTGAGACGCGCCACTGCCCTGTGCTGGGACTTCTCTCTGCACACGGATGAGAAGCACCCAGGCCGTGCCAGGGGGGCCTGGACCTTACCGAATCTGTCCCAGTGAGCACGTACACCGACTTCAAGAGCAGGTAGCCATCCTGGTCTGTGTCCCCCTTCCATCGCAGAAATTGCCCAGCTGCCACCCGTGCTTGTTCTGGCAAGAGTGCGGGAAGGGGAGAAAGTGTCACCAGCAGGGCAGTGCGGTGGCCTGGTCACCCAGCTTCCCTCTATTCGGCCTGTCTCTCCATGAGATGTGTCTTAGCATCTTTAGGGAACTTCTGCCTCTTGCCTTCCCAACAATGTCACCTGAATCTGTACCAAACATCTCACACTCTTGCCACATTCATCTCCTCGGGGGATAGCCTTTGTCTTGCCACCAACCCTGTTCAACAACCATCAATGGCTCCCTATTGCTAAATAATAAGAACAAAGTCCTTGGTGATTGGACTTGCCACAACCCAGTGTCTTCACCCTACTTCCTGTATCCCACGTCCCCTTTGTCATGGGGATTCTTGTAATCTACACCATGCTCAAGCTATCCCTTCCCCCTGGAATTCCCTCCTGCCCTCAGCCCCATACCCTCAGCCTTCAGGGTCCAGCTCTGTGAGTGGAAGAATGCAAGCCTGGAAACCCCATGGCAAGAAACATGGTTGGCTTTGGTTTCTGTGTTGTCTGCGTGTGTGTGTGTATGTGTGTCCCTCCCAAGAGCAGCAGAGTTCCCCACATCCCCCTTTGCCTTGTCCTTGTTCTCCAGGGTACTCCGTGGCGGAACCCGGCCCACCATGCATTCCCAAAAGCATTACTCTCAGTCCTCTAGACAGCCCAGAGGGGCTTAGCCGGAGGCCTGGGAGGAATAGACAGAGCTGTTCTGCTCTCCAGGAAGTTCTCCCTAACCTCTCTTCTCTTACCTGCAGGCTTTCCCACCAGGACCTTTTGTATTTCTTGGGCAAGCTGGTTGGAAACATCTTCAGCCAGCTTCGCGAGACTGGGAAAGCAGATGATCCCCACAGAGTGTTCCCAGGCCTGAAGTGCAACAAACAGGATTTGCTCAGAGATGTCAAAGCTACAAAGCCAGGCGTGAGCATCACCTACCCTACCCCACCCCCACCCTGGCCAGCCCAAACCAATGGCTCCACCTGCTTTCCAGGTGCAGCTAAAGGCTACGGAATCACCTACCCTCCAGCTTCCACTATATCCCTAACCCTAGTGCCTGGGAATTCTTCAACTTCCTGCTGAGCTCCAAAGCCACATCCAACTGACCCCAGACATCTCCCCTGAACCTGGAACTCCTGGAACATCAAACACATACCACCGAATCCATTGCTTTCCCGCCAAACCTGCTGCATCTTGTCTTAGTGAGTGGCCCTACCAGGCACCCACTTGTCCTACAGGGAAATTCCAAGAAGTGATTCTCTAGATCCCCCTCTCCCTCACCTTCCTCACCATCAATTGCTCACAGATTCTCCTACACGCTTGTCAAATCTCATGCAGCTATCTTAGTTTTAGTTGTGCAAGCATTTATTTCCTTCAGATAAATTCTGACAAGTGGAATTGTAAGTTTAAAACATGGGATTGCAAATTTTTTAATGTGCTTTATTTTTTAGTTTATATTTTAGTGCTTTGGTCCCTGTTACTAACTCATTCTCCAGAAGTTTACCAGATGAGCCTCCAAGGGCTCCGTGGGAAAGGGCTTAAGGCTGATTTCTGTCCACCAAGGCCAACATTGAGCACGGCGCTGCTCTTTCATCTTAAATGAGAAACCTCATGTAAGAAAAAATATCCCATCTCAACTGCAGCCTCAGATAACTAGCGTGGATGGATGCTTTTCGTGCCTTTTGAATTGTCCGCTCTTAGCCTATTACCCTATCAGGGTTTTCACTCTTTTCTCATTAATTTTAAAAATGTCTTTATATGCAAAAATTGTTAAGCTATGGTTCATAAGACTATCTTGATTTTTTTTCCTCCAAATTTGTCATTTTGTCTTTTTTAACATTTTTTATTGAGTTATATTCATTTTATAATGTTGTGTCAATTTCTAGTGTAGAGCACAATTTTTCAGTTATTCATGAACATACATATATTCATTGTCATATTTTTTTTTCACTGTGAGCTACCACGTCTTTTAATTTGGTATTGTTTGGTTTTGCCATACAGAGATCTGAAATTCCTAGGGAATAAAATTTCTCAAGCTGTTCCTTTGTTTTCTGGCTTTAGTTCCAGGCTTAGGAAATCCTTTCCCAGTCCAGGTTGTTAGTGTCATTGTTTTAATCTCCTATTTCTTTTTCTTTTTTACTGATGTATAGTTGATTTACAATGTTGTATTAGTTTCTGGCGTACAGAACAGTGAATCATGTATATATATATATGTGTGTGTGTGTATATATTCCTTTTCATATTCTTTTTCATTATAGGTTACTGTAAGATATTGAATGTAGTTCCCTGTGCTATCCAAAAGAAATTCTTTTTTATCTATTTTCATATATATATTTCATATATATATTTCATATATTTTTATCTATTTTCATATATATGTTTTTTTCTTAGGATGCCAGGCTCTTTTCAGAATTCCCCCCCGGTTTCTGTAGTAATCCCGGCCTTAGATCTGCGTCTGCCTTTGCTCTCCCGTGTTGTCACAGGCTGCGTCTGAGGATGGGGAGAGCCCCCTCCAGACCAACAGTCAGGGTGGAGTGACTATCCTCGCCCCAGGCTTGAAATCCTGGCAGTCCCTCATCCCAGGTTCCCATCAGGAAGGCGACCTGCTGTGCACAATCCTGGCAATTAGTGGCCTCTATGAAATGCAACTCTGCTGGGCTGTTGTCCGCTGCTCCCACCCACCAGCCATATTAAATTATATTCCTTCCCAAAGGCCTGATGGAGTTTTTTTAAGCTGAGATTCGACTTCTAGAAAAAGTGACAAAGACAGAAAAATATCAAAAGGAAATTGTTTCCAATATCTCCTTGCTATAGATATTATATTTGTTCAAAAGAAAAATCTTCTGTATTGTAATGTATTGTAAATGACAGTAAGTACAAAATGAGGAGGCAAGCCACAGATTGGGAGAAAATACTTGCAGGGCATACACTGACAGGAAGGGCATCTAGACACCTTCAAATTCAAAAGAAAAAATATACGATTTTTGAACAACAGCAAACGAAGCAACAAGTAACTCATAAAAGATAATAAGCAAATTACAATAATCAGAAAAGTGCAAACTAAAATCGCAATGAGATGGTTTATATTTTGGGGGTTAGTAAAAATGAAAAGCCTGGCGATACCAAATGTGGGTGGAGGTGAGGGACCACGAGACCCCTACACTCTACTGATGGAGTGTCACTTTTGAAGAACCTCTTTGAAGAGAAGCATTTAACTCAATCTAATAAAATTAAAGGGGCGCACGTCCAACAACCCAGCAATTCCAAGCCTAGGTATTCCCTAGAGAATATTCCAGTATTTCCTAGAGAAATACAGGCACACATGGACAAGGAATATTTATGAGGTGTTATTTATGATTGTAAAAAAACTGGGAAAGACTTAATGTTCATCAACAAGACAATGAATGAATAACCTGACATATTTATATAAGGATGTTATGTAGAACTGAAAAAGAAAAAGGAAAAAAGCTGTATCAGTTTGAATACACCCCGGAAATAGAATCTTGAGTGGAAAAAAGCAAATTGCAGAAGTATATTACAGTATGATTCTACAAAAACCTTTGAGACCATACATAAATTACACAATCATCTTACTTATGGTTATAAAAATATACCCATATTATTACATAATTTATATATAGTCTCCAGATATTTTAGGATGATACTGGAATATACTTTTGCAACTTGCTCTGTGTGTGTGTGTGTGTGTGTGTGTGTGTGTGTGTGTGTGTGTGTATCTCATTCCCCATAGGGAATGATAATTCGGCAGGTTGGGAGTTACCATTGGAGGAGGACAGAAGGGGAATGAGTTCTAGAATTCATGCACAGGTGGCTTTAGTTTATCTGAAATTCTTTATTTCTTTTACACAAGTGGTGAGTCCTTGGGTATTTATTTTGATTGGAACAAAACTTTGTATCTGAAATACTTGAAAAGTTTTCTGCCCTATAAACAGAGTTGCATCTTTCCTTTGTAAATAAAAAAGCCATACATCAGAACTTTGCTAAAACTACAAAAATGCTAGGTGAACGTTAAACACTATTACACACGGTAGATCTTCAAACAAATATTTGATAAGTGAACACATGATTACAGGACTCACAATATGCAGAAAGACGGCCAAATGTATCACGTGCTGGTTTTATGCCAAACGTTGGGCCAAGCACTTACATGCATTGTTTCCACTAATTCTCGTCACAAACCTTTGAGATTGGTATTATTATTAGTCCCACTTGACAGAAACTGAGGCTGAGCCAGAGGGTAAGCCCAGAGAACCAGTTAAGCAGCAGAGTAAAGAGCTGAATTATCTCACATATACCCAAGTAGCATGTGCACATCCAAGAAACGTATGGCGACCACCTGGAAACCAGCTATCACCTGGAAACATTAATCTCTGGAGAAAAGTCAGCCCTCCTGGCTGGAAATTTCTGTGTTAAGATTATTTCCCTCCCCAGGACTGAGAATTCTGCTCTGATGTCTTCCTGACAAATTCCTGTGCCTCCTCCCTGCACTGGCAAATCCCTCAAAGACCAATTTGCAGGCAGTTGACTCAGAGGCATGGAGATGGTCTTCGAGCAGTGGGACTCCAGGAGGCACTCCACAATAAAGCAAATTGGGCCACTGTGAGTTGAACAGTAATTGTACGCTCAGCCAGATTCTCTCAAGGCTCACACTCCTTCCTGGGACCATGATGGGCACTTTTGGAGGCCAAATTAACTCCTTCAGGCCACTGGGGTGCCGTTTGATGCACAGAGGCAATCATTTACTGAATGGTACCGTGGAGACCCCAAAGAGTTAAGGCAGCTTCCAAAAGGACCTAATTTTTTCCCAAACTGGGATTTGCACGCTGGGAGAATATTGCTCAATATTTTTAAAATCTTTTATTTACTTGCATTATCTAAGCTGTACCATCGTGCCTTGTGGCTGTCCCCTCACATGGAAAAAAAGAGAAAGAAAATGATGCTCTGGTCTCTAAAGGGAAATAAGGAATAACAAAAGCTCTAGAGGAGATGAGAGAAAACCCCAGCTTTTGAATAACAGAGAACCGGGCTGATTTTCAAGAGTGATTGCAATATTCCTTCTGCTCCACTGTTGCAGAGTTTGGTGGTTTGGCTTTATTGGCTTTAAGTCAATTCAGAACAGTTCAGAGACTTCACATGAGTTTCCCTTGCTAGTGTGGCACAGTTGATTCTCTCCTTTGTAAATAGAAAAAAAAATGATGCATCAAAACTTTGCTAACGTAACAAAAATTTTGTCCCCTAGGGAAGGAAATAAACCATGCTGAAGGCCCCACTCTGTGGTGGACTAGAGTCAGGGGTAGACAAGAAGGAACATTTACTCTCCCATCGCCTCTGGATACCATGCTTGGAAATAACTGTTGGTCATCCTCGTTATTATATTTCATCTTACATCTCTCTGTGCCTTTGTCAGTTGGGTCCATGGGGTTTATATGAGAATAATTGATCACAGCCAATGGCATAAAATCTGTCCCTCGTTATTATATTTCATCTTACATCTCTCTCTGCCTTTGTCAGTTGGGTCCATGGGGTTTATATGAGAATAATTGATCACAGCCGATGGCATAAAATCTGTCCCACTGGCTGGGCAGTTAGCCTAAGAGTACCTGTACACACCTGTGCACATGTGCGCCCACACACACACAGAGAAACACACTCACCCCAAGAAGGACTCATTTAGTGTTCATTGCAATCCCTTTACACCACGAAATAAATGAATTTCTGCCCACGTTACCCACTATTCCAATTACCTATTGCTGTATAACAAAACACCCCAAAATTGAGTCGCTTAAACTAACAGTAATTATTTATTTTTCTCGTAGATCTGAAGTTTGGGCCGAGCTCAGCAGAAATAGCCTCTCTCTGCCTCCCTCAGCTGGAGCAGTGAACAAGGGCGAAGAGAGCCACTTGCAAGATGACGCAGACACGTGGCTGCTGAGTTGGTGCTGCCTGTCAGCAGGAGCAGCTGTAAGGTTGGGGCTTTGTTCTTCTCCACGTAAGCTTTTCTCAGGGCCGCTTGGGCTTCCTCACAACATGACAGCAGGATTCTGTGCTTGAGTATTCCAAGTGACAAGAAGAAGGTACGAGTCCCTTGAGGCCTGGTCCTGGAAAAGTCACTTCTGCCCTATTCCATTAGTCAAGCCATCACAAACCCATCCAGATTCAAGGGGAGGGGACATGGATGCCACCTCTTGAAGGGAGCCGTGTGAACCCATTCACATTATCTCTAATCTACCACGTCCACAGGTTCCCTTTTTTTCCCCATATTGTCCCACCTCCCAACCCCCACTGCAGTTTGTCTGTCCCAGACAGTGAGGAATTTTACACTAATTGCTATGGATTCCCTGTCTCATTGTCGGCTTTCTCTCAAAGTGCATATTCTAAGAACAATCTTCACATCTACACCTATGGCTCTAACTTTCTCCTGTTTATTATTTTTTAAATAGACTTTATTTTTTTAGAGCAGTTTCAGGCTCACAGCAGAATTGAGCAGAAAATACAGAGTTTGCACGTAGCCCTCCCTACCTACACATACATACTCCCCTCCCCTCAACATCCCCCATCAGTGTGGCATATTTGGCGCAATCAGTGAACCAACGTGGGCACATTATTATCAACCAAAGTCCATAGTTTACATTAGGGTTCACTCTTGATGTTGAACATCCTGTGGGTTTTGACAAATGCATGATGACAAGTAGCCACCACTATTGTCTGTTATCAAATACCTCTATTCAATGAGAGGGATCGAAGTGGTTCCCTTTCCTCCAAAATAAACTCAACCGAATGCCAACAGGACCCACCCATGCTTGCTAGAGGGATAGCCTTCTTCTCTTGGTGTGAGATCCTATATTGGAAGGGTTCTAGAAAGATCAGAGCCCAAGGCTCTTGTCAGGGAAAAAACAGTCAATTGAATTCTTCCTAAAAGCACTGCCCTGCACACTGGGAAGTCATTGGCTCTGTGCTGCTTCCTGTGTGATGCAATAAAACCTCCCCCTCGTCTGCAACATCCTGCAGTCAGCTATCCAAACAGTGCATGTGCAGGGGGTGGCGTTCTTTTCATACCCCAGGGGTCACAGGTACCAGCCAGGCAAAGCCATCGTCCAGTGAGGCATGAGGTAGGGAAAGAAACCAGATGTGCTGTGTTCTACGAACCTCAGCACTGTCCAAGGGAACACAGTGGTTAACAACAGGGGCTTGGGCAGACTTTGCAGGTTAAGTTCTGCTCCCCACTAACAACTGGGTGACCTTGGCCAAGTTATGCAACGTCTCCAGACTTCTCTTTCTTCATTTACAAAGCTGGGATAAAAATAGCACCTACTTCCCAGGGCTATTATGAGGGCTTGTAAACACTGAACAAAATGCCTGGTTTTAGTTGCTTAGAGCCTGGTTAACTATCACTACCCATCATCAAAGAAAGTAACCACTTGCCCTGGCTTTGACCAAAGAAGGGGAATGATGGAGGCTGGTGGAGGAGGACCTGAAGTTCTGGGTGAGAACTTCGTGTCTGACTCACTCCCCCAGGACAGCTCCCTGTTGGGATTCCAATGTCCTGAGACACCTTGGTCTCTTCCTGATTATCAAGACAGTAACCAAAACGTTGAGCGGGTTCACCCCCTAACCCCGCAGTTGTTTTTCAGCTCTGGAGGCAATGGGGCTAGAATTTGCTGTAGAACCAACCAAGCCCATTTTCCTTGCCTAAACAGTTAAGGCAGATTTATGTCTAAGCAATGACAGGGAAAAGCTCATTCCCTGCTGTGTGTTTGGAGGAATCAGATACAAGAGAAAGCCAAGGAGGCTGAAAGGAAGCTCTTTGGGAAGAGAGAGTTTGCCTCACAAGACAAGCCTATTGTCAAATCTCAAGACTCATTAGGTCAAGGCAGATGACATCCCTTGAGATGGGACATGTACTGTTGTCAACCTTCACCAGAGCTCTAGCTACACATGGACCACCCCTTTCATGCCTAACTGGCCCAGACCACACAGCCCAGAGACATAGCCTTTCCCAAGCAGGGGCAACAATTCACGGCCCTTTGTGTGCATTGTCTTGGAACAAAGGATATTCCAGATCATCTTAATTTTCCTCGGGCCCAAAGTGAAAAGATCTAGGTACAGAGAGTTGAGCTCTATGAAACAAAGTACATCTTTCAGATGCACTCAGGATGCTCAGAGCCCAGTTAGGACATGGTTTCCATGACAACCAACACATGCATAAAGCTTTGATGCTAATGGCCACATCCCACGGGAGATGGCGTAACTTTTTAAGCCCTGAAATTTCTAGGGGGGGTTCTTTATAGACAACCTTGAAGAACTGTGCTTTATGGTTATAAAATTCAGAACAGAGTGACTATAAGCTTGACTATTTACACAAGGACCTGTATTACAGTGGCTTCCTCAGTCTTCCTCTACAGCTCAGATTTCATCTGCACTACACCTGAAAAAAGCCTCCCACCTTCTCCATGTTCCCTTCTACTTCCAGTTCTTAATTAAGAAGCCCAGAGGCTGTGGCTCTGGCTCTGGCAGGGTTTAATTTGTCAGAACTTAATAGGAACAACAGGCTTGTAAACACGCAGGACTTAATAAAAGAATATAGATTTTTTAAAGTGAGAAAGCCTGTACTATTCTGCATCTGCAGAGTTCATCAGAGGTGGGCTACAGGGATCCAAAACATAAGTAGATTTTGTCAGGCAGTTTGGGGAATCGTAGCTCCAGGATCTCAGACTGCACGTGTGCGGTGAGTATCCTGGAGGCTAGTGGAAAGGCAGTGGGGACCATGTCTGCTTTCCATGTGTTGTGGACTCTACAGTCTTCACCTTATCTCACCTGCACAGTCTCCTGGCAAACTGTTACTGATCCCACTTTAAAGATGAGGAAACTGAGGCTTGCTCAAAGATGCACAGCTAATAAACAATGCAGCAGGAGCTCGCACCCCACTCTGTTTGACTTGAAAGCCCATGTGTTCAGCAATAGGGCCATCGTGCCTCCAGTTACCAGGCCGGGTTTTGGGAAATATTGACCAAGATCAAGGTTCAGTTATAATAGGAACAACTTACTATCCGTGAGGTCAATGCCTGTAGGGTCAGATAACATGTGAGTGATGTGGGTTGGGTGAAAGATATTAGGGAAGAGAGGACTAGGGTAAACTGGGAGACCAAGACCATCTTCTGTCTAAAAGGATGCCCTTGACCATCTCCATCCAGTTGTCAGTATTACGGCTACAAATATTTTCAAGAAAAGTTTTTGTTTTTCAAGAGAAATCTGCAATCTGATCCTCATGTGAAAACTTTCCCTTCTGAAAAAAAATGGCACTAATTCATTTTTTAACCCCCTACAAGCCAAACAAAACACATTCTGGGTACTAGTCAGTATTCTCTCCTCTGGACAGATGTGGGTAAAACCTCTCCCCGTCTTCCTTACTTTCATAGCCCCAGGCCCTAGAACAGTGCAAAGGAGCTCAATAAATAATTGTACAACAAATGAGTGAATTCTCAAATCAACGATCTGGGGAGGAGCGAAGAAGTATCAAGTCCTGGCTGTCAGATGCAGAGTCCTTCCATCAGATCCATGGCTGCCCAGATGGCTGGGAAGGACACAATGCGATGGGAAAACCCACAAGCAATCCCAGAGAATTTTGATTGGGGCAGGGCATTGCTCACAGGTTTTCTTCCATAAGGCAAAGTTGGTCTGAGAACTGGGTGAGACTAAGTTACCTCCCAAAGGTGGGGTCATCAGAGCAAAGAGGGTTGGGAATGAGAAACCTGAGCTGTCTCAACTAACCTAGTTCCTCTTTCCCAGTATGTTCCCTCTGCCCCAGGTATCCAATCTGTGAAATGGGATGGCTGGGATATACAAGTCCACAACATCGAAGGCGTTAATGAATTCATGGATAGTAAGTTACCTGGAAATTGTTTACAGAAAGGCATCCCTAAGTATTCGATGTAGCCTATAAATATGCCAAGAAAATTCTGAGTCCTCTTTGGAAATTCTTCAATATTTCTGGTTAAAAAGTTAGATGAAACATTAACAAAGGCGTTTCCCAATAAAAACCTGCCAAAGCCTCCATCTGCCCTAGTTTACTTTCAAATGTGAAGAGGATCTCATATTCTCTGTGCTTTGAATGTAGGTATCTTTTTTTGTAATAAACCCAAAACCAATAGTTAAACAAAAACTAAGTCTTCATAAAAAGATGCATTTCCAACTCTACAATTAGACTTCAGTATATTCAACGGTAAGGCAGACCTCACTGGTGGGAACTTAATCCCAGGACAACAGAGGAAGCCCCGTGTACCCAGACTGTCACCAGCTGCCACTAGCTGGGGTGCTGGCCCAGTGGACAGGCTGGGCTTCTCTCCTGTGTCTACGACCAGTGGAGGGACACGGCTTTGCTGATCCCCACTGATTACGCCTCGGTTTGCATTGTTGGCACAACCGAGGTTCTGGTTCTCCAGGCCCTGGTGCTGGCATGGCTGGTGTCTGAGCTTACAAGCCGTCCCTGCTGCTCATGGCTCAGGACACACGCCCCTTTTCTAGCTCCCAAAGGAGCACGTTTGTCCTCTGGCTCCCAAGCGGCGATTGTGACTGAACCATATTATCTTTTTAAACTAAAGGGAAAATATTACTCACGAGCCAACTGTCCATCCTTTCCAAGCCCATCCTCACTTGTTCACCATCTTCATTCAACAGCACAACGCGCTTCTCTAAGCCACCAATCAGAGACCGCTTATGATGGCATTAAAACTACCAGCGCTGGTTTCCCATCCTCCCAGACATGTCCCCAGAGCCCTGTGTCATCTTTATACAATTTCAAAAATGAGTTTACTGACCTTTAGGAAGAGCGGGAGAAGATTCAACAGGCCCTTCTGACGTTCAGCAGGGCTCCTATACGCCTGCTGCTGGTACTCCAGAAACTTCTTTTCTAGCATCTCCCAGAGGGTGGTGGGGCCAGGGGTCTGCCCTCCTCGTGGGAAGTCAGGCTGAGCAACATCGGGCTGGCCTTTATTTTTGGAACCTGGATCCCCAGCTCTGTCTTCAGCCTTCGGAACGTCTTTCGCCTCCATGCCTCAGCAAAGCAGCTCTGAGATCGGAACGAAAAAGAAAGATGAACTGTCCTGTCACAGCACTTCCTGACGAGGCTGATTTGTGGGACAAGGTACCACACTCATTCAGTCCAGTTCCTGTTGAAGATGGTTCCTCTAAGAATCTGAAACTGACTGAAATAAGGAACACTTCTTAAAAAAGAGATCCCAATTTAGATATGACTCATACTGACAGTCTAACGTGTGCCAGGCACACTCATGAGAGATGGGTATTCTTATTTTTTCTATATGAGTAGGGAAACTGGCCAAAGGCACCTGGGCAGTAAGCCATCCAGTTGAGATGCAAACCTTTAACACCAAAGCCTGTTTTCTTATCACCTGATGTTCCTCCTCCTTAAAACGCTGAGTAAATAGAAGAGACACATGTAAATGTCTTACCAATATATACAGGCATGTAATTCTCTATCTTCCATTGTAAATTCCTTCCACCACACAAGTCTAAAAGGATGTAAGTTCTTCATTCTCAGCATTATTTGCTTCTCACTCAGTAATTTTAGAGGACTTTGCCCTCATAATGACTCTGTAAACCTCCAAGTTAACTTACAGAAACTCCTCTGACACAAATGAACTTATTTACAAAACAGAAACAGACTCACAGACACAGAAAACAAACTTATGATTACCAGGGGAGGAGGAGGGGGGAGGGATAAATTGGGAGTTTGAGATTTGCAGATACTAACTGCTAAATAGATAAAATAGATAAATAACAAGGCCCTACTGTATAGCACAGGGCACTATATTCAGTATCTTGTAATAGCCTATAATGAAAAAGAATATGGAAAATATATAAATAATATGTATAACTGGGTCACTATGCTGTACACCAGAAACTAACGCAACATTGGAAATTGACTATACTTCAATTTAAAAAAACAAAGAGCTGATAATGCACACAAAAGGGGATCTGGGGTTAGCAGACCCGAGGATAGGAATGTATGAAATGAGACCAGCCAAAGGCTGATATGCCCAATAGGCAGCCTCTAGAAGTTACCTTTATTTGTGTTCTGACTTTTCAATGGTCATCCTCTGTAGCTGAGCCATGACTGATTCACAGCACAACAAAGGTTTGTTGTTTGTTTGTCAGGAGTGCAGGAAGCATCAAGCAGGGACCAGAGTGTCCAGCTGCCCTGCAAGAAGCCTTGCCCAGTCACAGTGTCACCACATAGGAGTCCATCCTGGAATCTGGCCAGCGACCAACAGCCACCAATCGAGAGAGAGCAACCAGACAGATGGACACAGAGGTGGACCCCCTGGTGTTGTGCCACAGCAGCTGAGGGGGCACGTCATGGTTCATTTTTAACCCAAACACCCACCCCTTGTGGCTAGAGTGGGAGTTAACTCAGGGTCATGTGGCCAGACGAGCCCTCCCTCTTTGGAACTTTGTCACCCTGGAGGTACAAGACTCCCTGAGTCCCTGGCCCTTTTTCTGTCACACATGCTTATTAAGCTCAGCCTTGATTTGTAGAAATCATTTCCTTACAAGAAAGTCACGGACATTCAGTGTCAAAAACGAGGAAGGGAAAAAAAAAAGGAAGAAAATCAGGCTGGCCCATATCCAGAAAAATGACCGCTGACACTCAGGTTTTCATCTGCATTGTTTACTAAAAACACCCTCATGATATTGTGGAAGCACACTTTTTATTTGTACTCTTGCTTTTGTTGGTGGCTTGGCTGGGACTTGGTGGGGGCTTGTTTGTTTCCATTTGCGGCTTGACCCTCAGGGGCAGGTGGTGGGAAGGGGCTTGCATTCCTGAAGTCCCAGCATCCTCTCTTTCCTGGACCAGCCTCCTCTCTGGCGTGGATGGTTTATCCACTTTCTCCCTTGGCTCTTCACCCCCCATGCCCGTCTTCCGCACCCCACCCAGCCCACCTGCTTGATAGCAGGGGTCCTTACAAATTTCGCCACAAGTGCGTGATTTCCCAGTGCACGCACTTTAAGTTCCCCCGATGACCTTCCGCCTCTTTTCTCTGTTGATTGTCTCGCTCAGCATTACGACTTCCGACCTAAGCACATGGCTCTGTTTGTCAACCTCATTTCCTCTGACTGCTGCTCCATGTTACAAAGTGGGCATCACGTGCCTATTTGATTTGTTCCGTCCACACTGGAGGGTTCGATTGCTGCTGACTTCCCGCACTGCCCTCCCTCCAGCCCTGGACCGTCCCACACGCCTCCCCACGTGGAGCTGCACGTGACTGGCTCTGGGTGTGAACCCGGGAGCCAGAGGGCTGTGCCAGGAGTAAATGCCTCTCAGTTCAGCTACGTACCACCAACCAAGATGCCTCCAGGGAGCTGGCCTGGCGCCACATCCCTCCCACAGGCTCCTTTGCCATCTCCTTGACACCCCTGTTTGGCATCACTCAGCTTTCTAATGTTTGTCAATCTGAGTGAAGTAAAGCAATCCCTCACTGTCATTTTGATTTGCATCTCTCTAACTTACTAATGAGTCTGAGCATCTCTTCATGTGCCTCTTAGCCTTTTGGATTTCCTTTTCTGAAAAGTGACTCTTCATAACCTTTGCTTATTTGTCCTTGCTTATCCTTTTCTTGTTGCTCTGAGAGAGTGTATTCTAGAACCCGGTCCCTTGTTGCTTTTAAAAATCGCTCCTATCTTCTCGCAATCCATTTTTTTCTCAAAAATTAGTTCACGACTTTCTTTTAGGTCGCAAAATAGTATTGTGACTATTTTCCACAGCGTTAAAGACCCCCTACAGCTTCATTTTTAATGGTGGGTTGTGGCTGTGGAGCCATGTGGATCCTTTATTTAGCTAATCCCCTGCATTTAGGCATGTAAGTCATTTCCAGTTACTCACTATTATAAACAACTGCGTCATAACAGGCCTCGGGTCTAAGGCTTTTCATCTATTCATGATGAAATAATGGATTGTAATACATTCCTAAAAGGAAAGAGCTGGACCAAAAGGTAGGGGAAAATTTTAAGTTCTTGATGCATATTTCCAAATAGCTTCTTCCAAAACAATGTGCAGCCTTCCTACCAAGGGTGTACCAGATTTCGCACTTTCTTAGTTCCCAGTTTTTAACTCTTGCTGATTTGCTGGATAAAAAGCAACGGCATCTTTGTTGTATCTCCCTACGTATTCTGTTGGATGTGTTTCCATCCGTCTGCTGTTCAGTGTTCTCCCAGGCTCCCAGCAGTGGTTTTCTGGCATCAGATGCCAAGTGTTCTCAATTCCCAAGTGCCCTGTAGAAGATCTCAGCTACTCCCCCAGCTTTAATTACTCCTGAAAGCCACACATCCACTAAATGTTAACTCTGAAGGAAAACCATTGTGTCTTCATCAGAGGTTAGCACAAATTAGATGCTCAGTAAAATGTTACTATATACCCGAATAAATGAATGAACCTATACGCTGATGGCACCCAAATCTCTTCTCTATAGCCCAGACCCCTCTTCTAAACAAGTTCTTTTTCTACTTGGATTTCCCCCAAACAGAAAGTCGCTGTGTCCCAATCCAGCCGCCATCTCTGTCACCAACAAAGTCAGCCCAAGTCCAGCATGGACATCCCAACCCACAGGGTGGCTGCCGGAGCCAAGCTCCGTTTGTCTCTATCCCATAAAAATTATTGTGTGGCCACACCTGTAGGTGCTACTAACCGATTCATTCAATAAAACGTATCAGAGGGCCTGCTAACACGCACCGTCTCCAGGATCAGCAGGTGAGAAGACAAAGCGAGTATTGGGTCAGGATGTGAAATGTGGTTCTGGGGATCACAGCTAGACATCCAGGAGAAATATCAGAGCCCCTCAGGTCACTCTGAGGTTAAGAAAGCATGCTTACTGAAGGGAAACGCTTGAGTCACGTTCCCTTCAACAGACAGAGATTTTTGAAAAACAAAAATTTCTAACGAGTGGGGATCCGTGAAGCCCATGGAGAAGACATCTGACTCAATGTCAAGCTATGGCTGTGCCCCCTCCTGTCCTTCTGCCCATCACTGGCAGCCTGATTCAGTTTCATTTGTAAAAGAAAGGAAATGGGGAGTAGCCTATCGTGGCTGCATGAAGAACAGCAAAGAGGAACCATTTTAATCCATTTTGGTATCAGAAATGTCTCCTTACTTCTGTAAAAAGATGCCAGCACCTCCTTCTTATCCAGAGGGAAAAAGGACAATTTGGGGGCAGGGTCCCCAGGGGCCAGGGCAGGACTGGGGTTAGGTTGAGGTGAGTGAGGGACTCACTTCAGACACAAGATTTAAGGGGGCGCCAAAACCTCAGCAGCCAAGATAAAGAACATTTCAATGCAAAATTTTTAAAATCGAAATTAATGGGGAAAAAAAATCCCATGGTGAGAAAAACAGGAAAATTTTAAGTAAAGACGGGATCCAATCCTGCAGGTGCCCAACCCCATCCCACTGGCCTCCCCCTAAGAGAATTGAAGCTGAGGGTATTTTTCACAAAAATCAACAAGTTTAAACATATATCCAGACTTCCTTGGAGTCTATTCTAATAAGCGCAGAGCAGTGGCCATAAGCACAGGCTGGAGCCAGGCTGCTCCGGTTTGAATCCAATGGGCTTAGACCAAGGATGAAACCCAACCCTGCCTCAGTGTCCTCATCTGTGAAATGGGATAATAATAGGATCCCTCAAAGGGAATTAAGTCAGTGCTCTGCATATGTCATCATTAGGGTTGGGGGACAGCATTTATTGGTACCTCCTTTTATTTTTTCTTAATGAAGTATAGTCAGTTTACAATGTTGTGTCAATTTCTGGTGCACAGCATAGTAATTCAGTTGTACATATATAAATATATATTCCTTTTCATATTCTTTTTCATTATAGTCTATTACAAGGTATTGAATATAGTGCCATGTGCTATACAGTAGGACCTTTTGGTTTATTTTACTTATAGTAGTTAGAATCTGCAAATCCCAAAGTCCCAATTTATCCCTCCACCTCTGTTTTCCCCCATGGTAACCACAATTATTTTTCTATGTCTGTGAATCTGTTTCTGTTTTGTAAATAA